GATATCTTTTTTCTGGTATTCAGAGGGCCGTTCAGGAAAAATTAACCATGGTTCTGTGGTTCCCGCATCTGCCCCTATATCATGCAAAAGACCGTTTTCAAAAAGCTTGTCACGCCCTGAAAGACCTTCCTGGTAAGAGAAGCGGACCTCGCCTACAAGCGGGACAGACGCTAAGGAATACGAAGAAGAAGAACTTATTGAGAGAAGGTCGGAAACAGTCAGCTACAGCTGCAGATGAGCTCTACGCTTTGTAGTAGGCAAGGAAAAATCAACGTCAGCTACTCGCTGCATTTGCAACCCCATTTGACAGGAGCGTAAGGCTAGCGTCAGACTTTGTGAAGCTAGCGGTTCGCCAGCGAATCCAGCTAGTCGCTAGATATCGCGGAGAACGAGTATTGCACCAGCGAAGTGTACTAGTGTTTCAGCGCATCGAACTGTGTGTCAATCGAGCTGTGCACCAGCGGATCAGGTGATACACCAGCAACTCGACAGCGTTTGAAAGTGGCAGGACTCCCTCTAGTTGCATGTTGACTCTACCCACCTTCCCGAGCTCTCATGCCCTCTCACTCTCTCATGCCTTCGTGAGCCCGGGAAAGTTGCGAGAGACAATTTTCAAAGTGAGTGTTGCTAGCGAATCGCTAAATTTTCATAGTCTGACACCGGCCTAAGGCACGCAGTCCATTGCTGAATAGGCAAGTAAACCCTTTCGATATCTCGACGACCAGTGCTCCAGCTGGAATGCGCATTGGAGAGAGCGTTGAGAAATTAAAAATGGACCAACTGGAGGGAGAGTCATGTGCTCTTCCCAGATAGGAGCAGCATCGGTGTGCGCAATGATTCTGGACAAACACTCATATGGCGAGTCCTGTAGAAGGCATGGAGATGGCATTTACCTCTAGATTTTTTAACGGGGTATACTCTCTGGTCAACGTTATTGTGACTTTATATCCCTCCTCAATCCGCGTTCCTTCGAAAGCGCATTCGGCTCCCAGTAAATTTCTTTTGAGGAACGTGCAACTGTATCGAATAGCCGAGTCTGGAAGTTCCTGGAACGAAAGAATATTCGGCGATTGATGTGGTGTGAACGCTCCCCTGACTTGAACGCCACTGGACGCGTGCAGAATGCATTGCCGACAAGTATTGTAGCAATGAATCCATATGAAGCAATAATTGTCCAGCAGATGTCATTCAACGTGTTCAAAAAATGGAAAATCTTCCCACAGAACTCCTTAAAAACCTTCTGACTAGTACTGAAGCACGCTGCAGAGCATGAAGGATTTCTGTAGTATTCACACCATTCACACCTTATTGAGAATCATGTCCGGTCTTTTAGAGATGCATAATGAACGCAGTGAGCTCAGCGCGAGCGGTGTCTTTGAAGAAAAGGGTCTTCCCTGTCTTGAGTCTATTGCGTATTTCCGTCAGTAGCCCTCGGTATTATTTACGGCAGCTCCTTCAATGTATATTTCATAGTGATATGTTTTTTGGCCGTAGCATAATATGCGAAAACTACTTTTGCCTTTAATTTTTGTATACCAGAGTAAAAGACTGTTTATATAGGGATCTCAAGCGCACTGAGCACGTTAATATTATAAATGAACCAGGCTTTTACACAAATGTACTTAGTCCCTGAATAAGTTAGACAGACCCCAGTGAAGGATTCATCATGAGTCTTACTATGATTTTCACGAGACTTACTTCACTAGGACGTTATCTGAAGCATTTCAAGATGTGAACATTCGAAACTTAAACTTCCCTTGAAACCATCATTATCCATCGACGTTCCTCTTCCTTGAATGCCTCCACGAAACAGAAAATAATATTAGATAAAATCATGATTATGATGCCACATGTAATAGGTTGACGCACTGAAAACGAAAATCTGAGCAGCTACAAGTGATCGTTGCCATGACTGCGAGAGAAAGTTTCATTCTCTACGGAACATTCTCCTTTGCTCGTAGTCCTAGATGTAACTTCGTTTAACACACTTACGACATTGAGACGCGGTAACGTGTCACAATGTCGTAAGTCTCATCATTATCATTCCTTTTTCTAACGTATGCGGGGATTTTCCCAATTTGCTTGCCTCTATTCTATGGATTACAACATAACATAACTGTAAACGACATGGGTCACGGTATGATCAAATATGCTCCAGTTTAGCAGAAGTTTTTTAAGCACAGCGGAATTGGCAGCTCGGTTCATTCCTCGTTTTCTTCCTATTCTCATGAACATGTCAGTGAGAAAAGGGTAGTGAAAGTAAATACAAACTTAAAGGGATAGAAAGATATATGTTTCACTTGACACATCCACATCGAAAATAGTTTTGGCATCCACTACAGAGAAAAGGACTTAATTCCAATTTTCTTTACCATTTCACGTTTTTTGATCGGAATTTCGCTACTATATCTTCGATTACTTTCTACGCATTGAATATTGCTGAAATGGTTTCGTACCTTTGAAGCTTCCCAAGGTTATCGTTCGAAATTTACGGGTGTGAGGTGTGACGGCCGCGCTCGCAAAAGCGCCCTTGTCCCACGCGGTGCAAAAACCCAAAACGCGCGATGTCGTCAACGTGTTAACCCTTTCCGTCCCTGGCGGTGGCGATTACCACCATCAAATTCAAAGGTCTACATTACCGGTGCAACAGCATGCTTCTACTATCCACTGCTATAGGTTACTTCAGACAACCTTCCCTTCCTAATTATGCTTTGAACCCGAAATTTTATTGTGTGTTGTTATTAGCATTACAAATATTTGTACAAGTGCAACAATGAATCGGCGCTGGTCTCAGCAAGCCGCTAGGTAAGTGTCAATCATTTCTAAAATACTTGACATATATTCAATTTCTTATCAAAAATTAGTATAATGTTGTGCAAGATCATAAACTTTTTCGACATAACTAAGAAATTTGGAATTGTTTCGACATAAGCTAAAAAACTAAGAAGCTGCCAATTTTCAAAGCTTCTAGTTTCTTAGTTTGTGATCGAATAGCTTCCAAATTTCGCTATAATGATATTTATGCGCTCACAAGTAATAAACAATAGCAAGAAGAAAATTTTTTCCACGCAAAAATTCAGGTCTGAAAGGGTTACCCATGAACTCACTCCATGCTCTACCATCAATTTCGATATTCTTCCTAAGACACCTGGGGCGGAAGTGGTGTAGTGGCAAGTGGCACGCTTACCACGCGAGCGGTCCGGGGATCAAATCCTGGGTCGTGAGTCGCCCGGGCCAACCAAGCCTTCCATCCCTCCGGGGTCGGTTAATTGGTACCAGACTTGTCTGGGAGGATAAAAACACTGACTTGTACATCGGCTGGCCCCCGCAAGTCATTGTATAGGCCACATCGCATTCAAACGCCACTACGAATGTACAAATGGAAGTAGAATGCGTGCCGCATCCCAAAAAGGGATTGATCAACGGCAAATGCTTTATCCTTTACCAGTTTTGCTCCGCTCGCTATCGCGCGCATAACACGTTAGGCTTCAGCGGAACTGGAGACTTAACCCATTCGTGACAATGTCAGCCACCGGTGGCTGACAAAGCTCTCACTCGGGACAATGGCATTACTGTGGCTGCAGGGCTTGAAATGGAATTTGGAAAGTTTTCTTCCATGAAAAGAATCTTCATACCCTCGCTCATCTACGCCAGCCCTGGGCAGAGGAAATCTCCCTCCACTCAATTTTATTGAAGAAAAATCTCCTGACGCTGCTGCTATTGCGCAATCCGCGCGGTCGCGAATGGGTTAAAAAATATTGGGGATTAATCGCTGGTCGATCCGCTTTCTACTCTCTGACCCCATATCTCATGCGAAGGAGATCGCGGGTGACCTATCGCAGGTCCATGAAGATGGAAATATTGGCTAGACGTGAAAAATTTTCTGAAAAAGGGAAATGTGGGACAGTGTGTTCGCAGAAATTGCGCGTTTTCCCGTCGAGAGGATGGAATGCTGCTCAAAGAAATGGGTCCTTGTCAGAGTGATTCGACCGCCACTTCTGCTTCCTTCTTCGCTTTCAGTCCAATAGCACCTCTACATTACTTATCGTACTCTTGTCTACTCGACTTGATTGTAGGGTCTGGCTTTGAGGCAGTGAATGATTGTCACTGAATAAAAGAAAAAAGAGGAACAGTTTGGATCGATTCACACGGAAAACCGGAGAAAATCTCATTCTACTCAAGGAACTTGTGTTTTCGAGGTAGTGCAGTTATGGAAGATTTTTAGATCGCAATGCTGATGGGCAACGCTATTTGCAAATTCCTACAGCCGTCTATATATGAGAGCATCATTCGAATAAAGAAATATCCTTACCTACCCGATTTACCGCCATCAAGAATCAGGTAAGGAAACAACAACGGCGGCTTTCGTAAAGCTGCAGTAACATGAAAAAATCGCTACCTCGAGTAGAAACCTTGAACCAAAAAAGGCCATTTTCCAGTGTTCACACGGTGAAGGTCGAGCAGGTCATGGTCTGCGATGTCATCTACATCACAAAGGACATGACGTATCGGGAAATGAAGGAAATTCTCCAAATGGCTCCTCATCTGCGGAGTTTCCCAATCGTTACCGACCATGGTGAGTTCAGCATGTTATCTCTAGTTCTGAAAAATTGGGCACTGCTTTGAGCTCGTGAATATCAGTTTTGGTTTATTGAATGACAGTCCGGTAAGGTGTGATGCTTCTCCGAAGTTTAGCTAAATTGTTTGAAATGTTCACCAATTCTGAGGTGATGACTCTTGATGTGTCCATTCTAGATAACAAAATCCTTCTGGGATCGGTAGCGAAACGCTACCTTACCATGCTTCTGCGGCGACATGTACTGGTCACTCAACAGGACAGTCGGGCCAGTGTTCGTATGACTCCTTCGGAGATCTTCAACACAATCCGCAGGACCAGCATGAGGTAAATCTAGCATGTTCAGAAGTTGACATTTTCGAGAATTAGCACTGGAAGATGCTGAAAATCACATACTGCAATAAGCCTAGTGCTTCCAAATGGTTGGGTTCTGTCGATTTTGTCGAACTCAAAGGCAGCAATGAATCAGTAAACGGGTCACCTTGAGTAAATGGAATAAGGAGTACATAGAGAGCAAAAAAGAAGGAAAAAACATGCTCAAAGCGAACCCTTGTTTCTTCCGTTTCTTCCGCACTAGAGGTGCCGCAACGTGAACGCTTGGCGCTGTGCAGAAACCGAAGGCGGGACTGATAAAAAGACAACCAGAGGGACGGATAAAGCCTTACTATAAAATTTTGCTACCGGCGCATGCTCCGCCGCGAATGCACCACATATCGTTCGTAGAGGCTTTGTCTGCCTTTATGATTAGCTCGTTCCCCCCTCTTCAAAATATAATTTGTCGTGCCAACTGCCTTCATCCAGCATCGCATTCATCACTCCACTGCTTTGACACAGAAACATTTTTTGTCTACCTCTTATAATTGTATTAAATTCCTTTAGTAACATTGGCATAATTCCATACTCCTTCAGGCTCTCGAAGAGGTCACCGTCACGGAGATCGAAAGATGCGAGGGAACCTGACAGCAGCCGAAGTGAGAGCGAACCACTAGAAGTGGTGACTGATCGCAGCTACAGCGGCAACACGCTGCTGTCAATTTCGCCACTGCATGCTCCGAACAGTAAGTTCGCTTACAAACTTGGATAAAGAGATGAATCAAAAATCGAACAGAATCAAATGATTGGTCCAGCTCACTCGAAGAAGCTTACTGGGAATGTTTCTCGGGGCAGGCCATAAGTTATGTCAGATTCACAATTAAAAACGGTAGAAAAGAAAGGTATGAAGTAATTAATGGCCGAGTGTTAATTGTGGATAAACGGAGCAAGAAATTGATACTTCAGTCCTTCTCACCGTTTCATCATACCATCTTGGCAGGGATTCTCATCCACAAGGCGAACTTTGTGTGCCAAAATTATGGGGAAACCTCTTGGACACACTGAACACGTTTCTTCGTGGGTGGGCTCCTTTTTAACATGGCTAGGAAATCGCACTCTGCCAACCTGAATCACTAAAGGGGAATGTCTTGCAGGGTGCCGAGCTTTTAAAACGGTCTTTTGCATGATATAGAGGCACATGCTGGAACCACAGAACCATGGCTAATTTTTCCTGAACGGCCCTCTGAACACCAGAAAAAGGGGTCCCTAGTCACACCTTTCTCACCCAGTTTTTCAATCAAAGTCTATTTGTAAGGTTACTGACGTTCCTAATCATGAATTGGTACTAATTATTCATGCTAACTCCATTTTGCGCGAAATTTGGAAACGTCAACACGAAATGCAAAAACTTGTCACCACGAGGAATCGAACTAGGGACCCCTTTTCTGGTATTCAGAGGGCCGTTCAGGAAAAATGAACCATGCTTCTGTGGTCCCCATATGTGACCCATTTTGAAGAAGCTTGGCACACCCTGAACGATCTCTCTTGTAAGAACAGAAATCTTCCGATGCGTTACTAATTGCCTTTGAGTAACTTATTTTCTTCATGCATTTTTTTACCGTCGGAGAGCCATCATAAGTCTCCTATGTACTCCTTTCGCGGCTATTTGAGGCTTTCCTGTGGCAAAGTTTTTCTCTTTCAGCTGTTCCATTGCAAGCTGTCTTTACGAGACCTTCTTCAAACGAGCTTCTGAAGGTCAGAGTTAGTATAGTTCCGCCCAGAATCAAGGAATAATTAGTATTTTTCAGGATCGAGACCCCGAGGCGCTTCTTGATCGTACAATCGATCTCGATGAAATCGCTATCGATGCTGCTCCATTCCAGCTCGTACTTGGATCATCACTGTACAAGGTTTGAATGATCCTCGTTTCCATCACCTAGCTAGAAAATATTTGCGTCTTTGTTATTATTTCATTATTGCTAGCATTTTACGTTGGAGTCAAACTCCTCTTTTCCATAGTGCTTCAAAGTTTGGCAAGTGAGCCCTTGCCTCGTTTCGATTAGATACTCACAAGGAAAAGACCTCAGGTCGCCACGATTCAAGAAGAGATTCATATGCCTGCACGTGCCTTCGAACGCTGATCTCGCTCAAATTGACGTTCCTAACTCTGCTAAGGATTCTCTGAAGCGGAGTGTTAAAGCAAAAAAGCGGCTACTGCGGTATGTCGGACTCACAATTCAAACGTTGTAGGAATCAAACTGCTTATCCTGTTTGCTGTTTTGATCTTCTTCAGGAATAGTGGTACTCATGTATGGTTTCTACAGGCCGTCCAGCGTTTATCGGAAGCCAGGACAAACGTGACAAGGGCTTGAATTTCTAGACCTTGTCGCCGTGAGATCCGACCCCCACCGTTGCGCTGTCCGTTGCTTCATAGCTCCATTCAGAAAATCGTCTGGGCAGGTATTGGCAGGTAGATTTGAGATCAGCCTTTAAAGGCACATACAGGCGCATACATCTCTTCTTGAACAACCATAAAAATCTGCGATCCTTTGTTCGTTAGCTCCACCCCCTTCACAACCCCCTCCTCTTTCCCTTCGATATGGCTTCAAATTTTCCTCGACACTTTTTCATGAAGAACTTCGATTTGGATGTCACAAATTATTCCTTCATTCGACAGAATTTCTTAGACATCGTCATCAACTAGCTGGGATTTCTATCGCTTTCTATGAGAGAATTCCAGGGTTTTCTTATTGAAAGGCCACTTGAATGCCTACTCCATGGAGCTGCATAAGTAATTCCTCAAATAACCCCATGGAGCAGTGGCGAACTCTCAAAATGGACAGATGTTCGACGTTCGATGAATCTTGTCATCGTCGTGTGTGGTATTCTCTTTAGGTTTGCTTCTCTAAAGCCACAAGCCAAGATGTTACAAGACTTTACTCGGCTATCGGCTTGGCCGCCTTCGTCAGAGCCTGGAAAGTCAAAGATCAGTGCGACCTACCAATGCCGATTTCAAATTTCGAAACAGGGGGCATCGTAAAACACAAACACCAGTCGACTCACCTTAGATGTACGGTAGGATTTTGTTGAGACCACCGCTAGACTGACTCACTGTGGGTGGCTTCGGGTGACCTAGCCCCTCGGCATGGAGCCGATGGCGCTCGAAGCCCACAAAGGTCAGCGAAAGGGGCGAGTTCACTTGTTATGGCTAGGCATTCATCTTTCCTGTTTATTTTTGGATTTTTAGCGCTTATCCAAAAGGCCTCCAAAGTTTTGCGGGCTAAGGAAGATCAAGGCCTGAGACCCCCCTGGGTGGTCATCGTTGGCAGTGCCATGGAGGCGCGGAGTTTGAGGTTACTGTGAGGATCTTGACGCGAGAACCCCACACTTCAGCGCGCAAGCCGAAACGTTAGCCGAATAAAGTCTTGTAACATCTTGGCTTGTGGCCTTAGAAGCAAACCTAAGAGAATCTCAAAATGGGTTTTATGCCAGTTGGATTGTAATAAGGGAACTCATAATTGTTGCCGCAGGCAGCACTTGTCAGCAGTTTCCTTCGCGAATAGTTGCTTTGAGGTGGCGTATCTCTGGCAACTGATTTTTTCTTTCTCAAAATAATATTGCTAATTGAGAGTTTCCACAAAACGCACGAAAATTCTTGCATTCCAGGTGCACACCTTGTTCAGTCTTCTGGGTCTGTCGCACGCATATGTCACCGACTGCGGCCGACTTGTTGGCGTTGTCGGTTTGAAAGAGGTGGGAATTTTGGCACAGTTTCAAGATTCTGGGGCTTTTTGACATATCCATGTATGTGTTGTCTTTGAAACTATAAAGCTTTTTGTAGTTGCGAGACGCGCTGGCTAACATCTACGTGCGAGGAGCAGTAGTTCCAGAAAGGAAGCTTACATCAGCAGCCATCATCGCCAGGAAGGTGAGGCCATCCTCAAAATGACATTTTGTGTCGTGACCCCGATCCTTAAATTTGGGCTAGTTCTAGCAGAGGTTCTCTTCAGCAGTTAACTTGGTTAGGTTTGCAGGAAAGCGCTGGAACTCTGAGCAGTGCAACAGTAACAAATGGTAGTGTCGTGAAGACTGAACAATCCAAATTCGGCAACAATCTCACCGTTCCGGAATGTTTGTGATATCTGTGGCAAAGAAAGCCCATTGGGTTGTGGTCCCCTATGGACACCTGCGGAAATGGTATTGTTGGTTGAGAAATACTATGTGTTTTGGTTAGTCAATTGAGAGAGCCTTTCCGCTAGAGCCATTGCAGTCAAATTTTATCAGGGTATCAGTAGTTGTTACTGTTTTTGTTCAGCCGTGTACACATTCCAGTGTGATTTTAGTTAGTTATAGTGGTTCAGTAGGTGTGCTCCTTGTTAGTCACATTTATTCAAAAATTTATTCACACTTATATGATTTGAAGAAAGGGTTCTGCAGCGAAACTCTATAAGTTAATACTGGCAGCACCACAATGGTAATGAAAAAGGGCAGATGTTACCCGGGGTTACATACCGTTTGATAGGTTTTTGGCACGCAATCACTCAAGAGTACATTTCACGATCTAGCTGAGTGAAGCATCTTCTTCCATAAATAGAGTAGATGAGTTCGCAATTGCCGAGGTAGCGCCATTTTTGGCTCAAAACCGTAAGGGGCTGGGAACTTTCCCACTGAGGAAAACTTGCACTGAGACCAGGGTCAGTCCTATCGTTGTTACTTTTTCAAAAATTTTTACGACCCCCCTCCCCCAAGGTGGACTTGGTACGACCCCCTTTTCGACACCTCGACCACCATATTCCTCTCTATAGTATTTAATTCTGGTACCACTCAACCCACCAAACTCCGCCCACTTTTTCCTCCAAAAATGCCGTCGAGCGGGGGGGGGAGGGGGAGGGGGGGCAAAACAGCGGATACACCCCTATGAGAACTCACCCAGGTACGACCCCCCTTGTTACTAGTAACAACGTAGGGTTGACCCTGCTGGACACACCCATACCCGCTCGCCGTAGTGGTATCTGCGGCCACGGCCTCTCCCAGTCATTTCAAGGGAGCCTGTCATTTTTATTGTAGTCGTCGGTTTCTTCTCCTTTCGCCGTCACGGATCAGTGACTTCGCAACTTGAATTTTATTTCAATGCACATCTAACCTTGCAATCCACACCTCACTGATCGTGGCATGTGCCTTTAAGTGCAAGGGGGGCGATAAATCAGGCGCCATTCGAAATGAAGTATAGTTGAACCAAGGAGTAGTGAAAGCAAATCAAGCCTAAAACTTGAAAGCCGGGAAATCAAACCCCTTCCGCTCGCCGATTTCTGCACCTGACGAGATTATACGATAGATGACGTCGTCAGGGTGAACGCTTTGCTCAGCCTCTGTGGTAGAGGCAAGCGCCCACTTACCAAGCGATACAGCCCGAGGTCCACCACGGCTGAGGAAGGCCTCTTCAGGAAATGGCGACTTCTCACTGGTAAAGTTCGCTCGCTGAACCGCTATGGCGCCAATCGCGACCTTGCGAAAAGTGGGCAGCGTCTCCGCTCACTCAGGGTCAAAGCCTGCTTCACAGCGGCCGGAGTTTCCCTTCTTCAGCGTAACGAATTTTATTCGTTCCCCCCTTCCCCCCTTCTTTACCGAGATCGAGCTGATAGTCGTAAGCTGCAAACTAATGCACTTCTTCAATGATTTGAACAATTCACATTGAGCTGTCCACCTGATCTGGCTACCCGGAATGTGAGAAAGAGAGATCGCTGCGGAATTTTTTTCTAGCTACACGTAGCAGGTATTTTAAATGTCTCAATTTGAATAAGTGCAAATCGCACCCATATGATCGGTCGGAAATGTGCAATAATTGTTTTGCGTGTGTACTACTTGATATACAGGTTCTTTCATGAGCTTCAGTTCTCCCCCCGTTGATTGTTTGAAAATCGCCATGGTGCTCCCCATTGCAAGTTGATTTTCCGAAATTTTTCCTTAGTTGATTTAGTTTTCCTTTTGCTGTACTCTAGTCATTCCTACCGTTGATTTGAATCCCGGCTCCATCACAGGTTCATCTAGTCTACCCGTCCAATACGTGTTGAAAGAAGGTGGTGTTCTGATATTTATTCATTATGAAATTTCGAATAAAGAGTTATCGTCTTGTTTGTTTCGCTATAAATGAAGAAAGAAACTTGTCTTCGATCTCCTAAAGACAGTTGATGAGCTTTGTTCCCGCTAAAAGAGTTGTGAAGACAATGTGTCGTAGTTGAAGCCTCACTGTGCGTTCAGGGTGTCCCATAAATATTGCACCACATTTCTTTGCCTTGTAACTTCTTTCAAAATGGATGTACCTTCAAGAGGTTTTACAAAAATTTTAGCAATACATTTACATATGAAAGGAATGACATTCATTGGATATGCTCCCCTGTTGTTGTGAGTATTGGGCTCTCCAATTGCTTCGAACGCAACTCTACTGTGGCTCGCCATGGCATCCTGGGGTGTTCTGTCGAATTTGTTGCCACAGAGAAAAGCTCCATTCTCATCCATATGTGAGATGCAGTGTTTAGTGCAGGCTCTGCCCTCTGAACATAGCCCACATAGGATGGTCCAGCACGCTGAAATCAAGGGATAGGGAAGCCATTCGTTCGAGGATGTAAATCGGAAAGAGTGGCTTAACAGCGCTCCTAAACAATTTATGCCTCCAATGAAGCCGGTCTATCGAAAGATCATCACCCCTCCTCAAAGTGGCTAGATACCTCAGTAACAGATGGTGCACCGAAATGTCCCTTGGCTCGGTCTAGTATCAAGTTGTATTCCTTTGTAAACAGGCAGTGATGGTGAGCGACCGGTAGTTGAGACCCCCGTCCAGACCATGACAAGGTTCGGCTGCTGCTTGTCGAATATATTCCTTTCACTCTCCCTGACTTCCTCAAGACCTCATGCTTTCACTTCTCGGAGTTTGAAGATTGTAGCTCCGCTCCATGTGAGGAATTTTGTCGTCGATGAAAACGGTGCCCGCGTAATCGCCATTTTCGGCCCTCGACACCAGCTCTTTGAACTTTTTGTCTCTGCTGTGCTCCTCCCGTTGGATTGAGCAGTGGTGCTTATGCAACTTATAATGGACTGTGAGCAGTTGTTATCCGACCACTCTCTACATGGCTGTGTTTAGAAACTCCAGCGTTCTGGTCACCTTTCTCGAGCCAACCCGGGTATTGCAGTCGTTTCGCTTCTTCATGCTTTTCCTAAGATTCCAAGATGTCAGACAAGTAGCAGGGTGAATAACGGTCGAGGAATTCCTCGACCATCGCTCTCTGCTGTGCGAGAGTAGAGCCGATAGTGAATGTACGCGCGGAGAGCACAGACGGCTCGCGGGTGGCGAGAGTGAGCGAATATCGCGCGAGCGTGAAAGAATCCTCAAGCAATATTCTTCCTGAATGTGCGACCGCCCCACTTAAAAGGCTTACCGCTTATTGGACTCCTCTCCAAAGCACGGTACCCCCGGAGCGCAAGGAAAATCCAAGAAGCGCGATGCTCATCACCGGATGTCCGACCTAGCTGTGTGAGAGGTTAGGCACTCTTGTTGAAGTTTAGGCGCACCATGAGATGCAGGCCGAACGGTAAGCCGTGGAATTTGGCATGGTCATTGACAAGAGGATAGAGGATTGAAAGGTCTGCCAATCTCGGAAGAACAATCTATAAACACCCTACAGAATTTAGCTCAAAATTTGGTGCGAGAAAATAAACTTTTTAAATTTTTGGGACAAAATCCCTGAGTTATTGGATAGGTTGGAAATCTGTCTCAGTACAACCTTCAGCTATTTCGCATCTGGGCTTATCGAAATATCATTTTTGTTAGAAGGTGAGGAGTCAATCTGTCTGGGTAGGCTGGAGCTCGGGCCTGACGGTGCGTCATACGACCAGAAGTTGAAAACTGTGATTTTCTAAGAGGTATAATTTTTCCAGAAAACGAACTACAAATCCAAATTCGGGAGCTCCTTGACGGGTAAATACTTTCTTCAAAGTGCTAGTTCTACAGAACAATGAGAAAATCCTAACGACTAAAATAACGAGATATTTGAGAAGATGCGAATTTCTACACATTCAGAAGCTATAAGTACTTTTGGAAGCGAATAAAGTAGGGGGGCTATGAACAAGGAGAGTTTTCTTTCTAAAGGTTTTTGAGAGCATTTACCGAACAGCATAGCAAAGGAGTGGCCCAGTAAGAGGATTTTTGCTTCGAGCACCAAAGCGAGGTTTCGACTTGTCGTTTCTCTCACGACGCACGTTAACTTGTCGTAGATATCTTTCAGCATAACTATGCATGGTTGAAACACGATTCCAAAAAACCACTCTCCGTTCTCCTTTGGCATGCAAAGAAGTGCCCAGGAAGGGAATTTAAAATTGTATACACGAAGGACGGAGAGGGGTTGGACGTGTTGATGGCCAAATAAGCACATTTGCTCCTGGCTCCGACAAAATTTCTCTTAATATTGTGCTGTCCCGGAGCCTCATCAGCACCTAAATATTGTATAACACAGAGAGGCACCAAAATTTTATTTCAAAAGAATTCCAAAAGTTCAGAAAGTTCAAAAATTCCAAAAACTCAAAAGTTCCAAAAAAGCAAGAAACAGTTTGAAAAAAATCCTTTTGAAATCTTCGGCGATATTTCCTTAAGGATAAAAATACGGGGCTCTCTTGCGTTATACAAGCATTTAGCAAAATCTCCTGGTACGTACCGCCTAGGCAGAAGCAACAAACCCCTCGCCCGCTCTCCCTTCAACGGTTCCACAATATGACGTCATCTGCCAACGTCGTCGAGCTCAAGGAGACCTACCGTAATCGTTTCAGGAGCATGCTTTCTTCAATCAGTGAATCGATGGACAGCCTCCTAGAGACAGTAGCTTTAACGTGCAATACCGCTTCCGCACACCGTTTAAAATAACGTCGAGTTCCACGATCCGTCGAGCGCCTCATTGAGCTCGAACCGTACATTGTGTTCCCGTGGAAATTGTGTTGGAGTTGTCCGCGAAGAAAGCCATTATGAACTCGTATAACTTCGTATGTTCTTTCTGATTTCAAGTTGGGATCGTCGGTTCGAATTCAACAAAGTTCAATGAATCCCGTTTAAAGTGGGTAGGGATAGTGACTTTTCGCCTCCCCTTTGAATGTT